GGCCTGTATTTATCATGGAGGAAAAGAGAATTTGGTATGATAATGAAATTGAGATCATCAAATGTGAAAGCTGGTCCATGATGTCCATAAGCAAAGAAGACTCTGCTCAACAGTTTGCAGCAGGGGTGGGTTCTACTTACCTTTACTACCAGTTCGCATCGTGCCCGCGCGCACGCTCTTCGGATCACCTGTGATGACATCCGGGTCAGTGGGTAGAGCCTTCCACCGGTTTTACTACCGGTTCTTACTACCGGTCTGAACTGGGGGTAACCCACCACTGGTTTGCAGCCTGGAGAACTCTCAAATTTAGTCTCCTTGGTTCAAAGCTACTCACCAGCTGATGGCCCTTTTCCCCCCTCTATTCTTGATTTTTTGTTTCAACAAAGGGAAAATTAGGGACAGGCAGAGAAATTGGAAATAGAAATTCTGTTGAACTGACACGGGGGCAGAAATAATCTTTTCCAGAATACTACAAGACCTGAATAACAGGTGAACCAGAACAATAAGAGTCCAAATATACTTTGCAGTGGTGGGATTCAAATAATTTAACAACTGCTTCTCTGTTCTAATGACCAGCTGTGTAGGCGTGGCTTGGTGGTCATGTGACCGTGTGGGCGTGGCCAACTCAATGTCACTCACGTCAATGGGCGTTTCGCCTTAGTTGTTACAATGTAACAAGGGTTAACCAGAGAGGGAGTTTCTGTAAGCAGGGCAATAAAGATTAGGCTAGAAACACCACCAGAATGTTTCCTTCCTGCCTTCCTTACAGGATTAGCCCTGTAAAGTGGAAAAAACAAAATAAGATTTCTTCCAACAACCAGTTCTCTGAACTGCTTAAAAAGTTAACAACCGGTTCTCCCAAATAGATGCTAACTGGCTGAATCCCACCACTGATATTTTGCATTAAATATATAGCATATCCTCCAATAAATTTTTAAAATAAAAATTAAAGAGGGAAGCAATGTAAATAAAAGTGAAAGACATGAAGCTCAATACTGCCCTTCCCCAAATGCATTATCTTCTGTAAGGCAGTGAAAGTTTTACTAAATTTTATCCCTGTGGATAATTCTACCTTAGAGGAATCAGGCTATGAAGAGAAGCTGAAATGTCCACTTCTCTTGTATTGGCATTAGCATCATCTCAATTATTATCTCCGTGTTTTGAGTAAAGGCTGTACAGCTCTATATGAAATAATGTGCAGCTTGATATTTTAAAGTTCAGAATTCTAGAATCCAGTCTGGAGCAATCATCAGGACTAGAGGTTTAGCCTTCCAAGCTTTCGGACTTGTGCTGGAACCCATCCTCAAGAAACTTCTCTCCAAAGTGTGTGTTGGGCTATTCTATGTGTAATATTTATGTGGTATCTGGATGGGTATGGCTTCTTATTGGTTGATTGGGGTATTGATGGCTGGCTATTATGTCATTGGCTGTTGTTTCCTTCTGCTGCCGAGTCCTCAGCTCCTAAGTACCTGATAACAGTGGTGAGTTGCTCCCGGTTCGGTCCGGTTCTATAGAACCGGTAGTAAAACAGGTGGGAGGCTCTGCCCACCCGCCACAATGTCATCATGGGTGATCTGAGCATGCGCAGAAGCATACACTTGTGCGTTCCTGCTGCGAACCGGTAGTAAAGGTAAGTGGAACCCAACCCTGCCTGATAAGCTGGTGGTAAATCAGCATTCCTGTTGACTGATGAGGGGCCCATTTCCCAGGCTTTAATCACTTCCCTGGCTATTTTTGTACCTGCTCGGCCAACAATCTAAGTAGCTGTGAAATAGAATGTATGTCCTTGTTCATTGCAATGTGTGGCTACCAATGAATTTGGCTCTCCTTGTCTGACGGCTCACTTGTGTTCTTGCAATTTGGTGGTTAGCATCTTCCCCGTCTAGCCTACATAGTCACAGGGCCAATCTGTGCAGGGGATCCAGTAGATTACATTAGAAATACCTTCTTTGCAATGCTTGATTTGTCCTCGTATGGTAGCCTCTGGGCGATGTGTGATGCCAACTTTCAGATTTTGTATCTCTCCCTTTGGGACTGTATAAAATATTCCAGTATTGTTTCAGTGGCTCTGGAAAGTTCTCTCTTTTTGACATATAGGTTTGAGATAAATTGATATATAGATTTTCAGAGATTGACATTAAATCCCTTTTTTATCTCTTGCTTATTGTTCATGTCACTCTCCCTACTTTTGCCTGTGTTTTTTGTTGTTGCTGTTGTTCCTTTTTTGACTATGAACTGTTTTTGATATTTGCCAATAAATAAACACCAAGCTATATTTTTGGCTAGCTGCACTGAGTAGCCTTCGTGCCTGTTCTGATCTGGATTGACTGGGAGTGTGCTAGGTGGAAATTAAATTGGAAATTACTTTTAGGAATTTTCTCACACTTGCCATGTGCCAGCTATGAACACATACACATGCCTTGGTGATAGACCCTGGTGAGAGAATATTTATTTATTTATTTATTGGTTCAATTTATATGCTGCCCTTTTCTGGAGACTCAGGGTGGTTTACAATGCGTTAAGCAACAGCCTTCATACTTTTGTATATACCTGCTTAGTAGGGCTTTCGCCCCCCCCCAAAGCGGTGTTCTTTTTATATGAAGTCAGCTTATTGCCCCCACAAACCGGGTCCTCATTTTACCTACCTCAAAAGGATGGAAGGCTGAGTCAACCTTGAGCCTGGTGAGATTTGAACTTGCAGTAATTGCAGGCAGCTGGTGTTACTTAACAGTGCTTTAGTCTGCTGCGCCACCAAGGCTCAATATGTACATGTAGAAACAGATGTGAGATATTATCAGTGGTGGGATGCTGCCGGTTTAACGACCAGTTCAGTGATCGTATGCTTTGCGCTCACGTGTGTCAAACGCACATTGAGCACACGTGCACAGTTTTACAAATACTAACCTTTTGTGTTACCACTTGGGAGTAACACAGCTGAGGTGTGGCAATCCTCTCTGCCACGCCAATCAGCTGAGAAGATAAAGGTAAGTAAAGTGCAGGGGCGGGGGGGGCAACCTGATCATCAGAGCGAACCGGTTTGCTCCCAGATGATTGTTGGAGCTACCAGTTCACCCGAACTGGTAGAATCCCATCCCTGGATATTATTCAGAAGAAAATACAGTTGCCTCCTATGATGGCAGCTAAAAAGGGGATGGCAGCATTTCCAGAGGCCAAGCTCTACATGTTTTCCTACCTTCTTCTCTTTGCTTATTTTACCAATTGAAGCAAAAGGATGTTTTTGAGACCCTCGTCCTTTCCAACGAGACTTTGCAAGAAAGTTGATACGTCAACCATCCCACTCCACCATCTAGCAAAGAAAGACTCCCGACCCATTGTTTTACCAAGAGTATACTTTACTGAAGCCTAAGTGGTTATGGAAAGTAGTGAAGCTGGATCTGGCATTTTGCAAGCAAATGATACGATTAACTTTTCCTTTTCCCCAGTTATCAGTTAATGTCCCTGTTACCAGTTAATGTCCAATAAGATGTTTGTATATTGTTTGGGTAACGGACCTTCAGTTTGTGGGCTTTCCAGTTCTGCATTCTGATGGTTGACCTTGGGCTGGCTGGTGCTTCTCACGCCTTGGGCCAGTATGGCTTAGTTTCCATTCCCCACCCCCACTTCCTCCCTACATTCTAATCCTCTCTTCCCTCCCCCAGTTGCTAATGTCAGGCTTGCGATGTTTGGTTAGCACAGGGGTCTGCAACCTTAAACACTGAAAGAGCCATTTGGACCTGTTTCGCACAGAAAAGAAAACACCGGGAGCCACAAAACACTTCCCATGTCTGACTATTTTTTGAGCGGCCATAAAACTAGCATATGTAGTTGAATTAAACGTTCTGTTTTCTTCTGAAACTTTTCTTTTCTTGGATTTATCCATGGTTGGCCTACTGGGGTTTGAAAAGCTCAATAAATTGCTTGCCGGCGTCAAGGTGTCACACATTGGCAGTTGTGACGCATATTTTGAGTGACAGGGAGCCGCAGCAGAGGGGTGAAAGAGCCACATGTGGCTCCAGAGCCACAGGTTGCCGACCCCTGGGCTAGCAGAATGGCAGCCATGACAGGATATTTCAATGTCTCCATATTATCAGGCATAATGTATCCTTGCAATATGTATGTTCCTGGTCAGAGTTAAGTCCAGGTTGATCTAGAGCCGAGGTGGCGCAGTGGTTAGAGTGCAGTACTGCAGGCTACTTCATCCGACTGCTAGCTGCAGTTCGGCAGTTCAAATCTCACCAGCTCAAGGTTGACTTAGCCTTCCATCCTTCCGAGGTGGGTAAAATGAGGACCCAGATTGTTGTGGGCAATATGCTGACTCTGTAAACTGATTAGAGAGGGCTGTAAAAGCATATGAAGCAGTATATAAGTCTAAGTGCTATTGCTATCTTAATAAATATGGTCTCGTGGCATTGACTCCTCAGGAATGAACAATATGTAGGATTTAGCCATATTGGACCGTAATAGCCATCTGCTAAATTATGATTCAAGGCTTCATCAGTTATGCCTTGGCCTTAGAACTGGATGTTTTGTGTGGGATGATTCCCATATAGAATGGGACCAGATGGACTGCAGTCTAAATAAGGCTCCTTTCCTATTTCATGCCAGAATTCAGAATACCTAATTCTGAGTTCTCCAGTGAACCTGCAGGACTACCTGTGGCTTGCTGTGGGGGGAAATTGTAAGAAAAGGGGGGGCATCGGGCTACAGGGATTGGTCTCGGCTAAGCTAGCTTAGTTCCTATCTAGTTCCAGCCAGAGATGCAAAATGGAGGGAAAATACTTCTCGGTGAAGTCAAGGCTTGGAGTGAAGAATGCATTGATGAGAGAATGCAGCACAGTGCTCTCCCTCCACCCCTTTCCTCCTCCTCCTTCTTTTCTCCCCAAATGTGAGCTTGTTGCCTATTATCCAACCCTGTTTTGTTAAATTAGAGAACAGAGACTTTTTTATTCCTTCCCAGAAGTGCCCTTTCTGATTCTGTAACTGCGTTTTCTAATCCCCAGGAAGCCAGAGACCAGGATCAGTCACGACTGGACTCCATGATACTACTCATTCTGAAACTGGATCAGCTCGACCAGGATATTGAAAATGCTCTCAGCGAAAGCTCTTCGCCTTCCGGCACATTGACACAACCACAAAAGCCCATCCCTGTAAGTCTGGTTGCTCAACCTTCTTTCCCCCCTCTCCCTCAATTATTTATATTTACTTGCCACGTTTTTTTCTTGTTGCTTCTTTTACTTTTCTTACCTCTCCCCATTGTCCTTTCAGCTCAAGTATCTGCAATTTCCAAAACCTAAACACCAAGATAGATTTCTTTTTCTTTTTCTTAGATCTAGCTCTGTCTTCCAGAGCAGTGGTGGTTTTCAAAATTTTTTACTACCGGTTCTGTGGCTGTGGCTTGGTGGCCGTGGTTTAGTGGGCATGGCAGGGGAAGAATACTGCAAAATCTCCATTCTGTCCCCACTCCAGGGGAAGGTTACTGCAAAATCCCCATTTCCTCCTGATCAGCTGGGACTTGGGAAGCAGAGAGTAGATGGGGGCAAGCCCAGTCAGAATTTTTACTACCGGTTCTCCGAACTATTCAAAATTTCCGCTACCAGTTCTCCAGAACTGGTCAGAACCTGTTCAAACTCACCTCTGTTCCAGAGGCACAGAATTATTGTTCTCATTGTGCCTCCTAGGAGTTCTAGTTTAGAACAGGGGTCTCCAACCTTGGCAACTTTAAGACCTGTGGACTTCAACTTCCAGAATTCCTCAGCCAGCAAAGCAAAGCTGGCTGAGGAATTCTGGAAATTGAAGTCCACAGGTCTTAAAGTTGCCAAGGCTGGAGACTCCTGGTCTCAAATATCTGGAAGCAACAAGGCAGACCTAGCTTCTGTTTCTGCCTTTGGTCTTTCTCCGTGCTTGGGGAATGATAAGACGCTTAGCCCAATTCTGGTCTAAACTTTCCAAACTTGCCAGAGCTTCTCTATTTTTAAAGGTGGAATTAAAGTCAAGCCAATCAGGTGATCTGATGTGCTGAATTGGAAATGCTTTGGAAGTATAGATGCAGCTTTCCTCAGTTTACCTATTATACATTTGAAATAAAGGTTCAGGGACTGCTTTAAAATTCTGCATTTAAAAAAAAAAAAAAAAAAAAGAATTTCAGTGTCTGGCCCCAAATAAGTCCACCCAGATTTATTGTGCCCAAAGGATTATAGAGAAAGGATAAGTAATTATTTCTATAATATTCAATAATATTTAGGAATTGGATTGAGTCGGGTGCTATTTAAATTGATTAAATTGAATTTCTTCAGATTGTGGATATTATAGTATTGCAGACATTCTGCTACATACAATAATTGTTTATTGGATCCTTTCAAGCATTTACATGACATCTTTCACGATAGAGTTCTTTCTATAGTGATTTTTAGATATAAAGATCTTTCACATATTTCCCAAGAAAGGCTACGAAAACTAACTTTATATATAAAGCAAGATAATTGAATGACATTCAGTTATCATATGCATATTGCTAAGACTAAGCAGGAAGAAAATAACCTAATCATTTATAAACTTCAAGATGTTGGCATATTTTGAATGATTCCCTATAAAAAAAAATTTCTTACCTCATGCAGCTGGAAACATGCATTTGATTATCATATCTTTTTTAAAAAAATGCATTGATACCCATAATTTGAAACGGCATATAGCCAAGTATGAGCTTCTGGGGGTTCATGGAGGTTCGGGAGAACCTCCAGCTAAGGTGGAGGTAGGGCACGTGCGGAGGCTTGGGGAGGGCAAAAAAATGGCCTACCAGAAGTTTGGGAAGGCTGGAAACAGGCCTCCAGAGGGCCTCTGGAGCCTGGGGAGGCCGTTATCGCCCTCCCGGAGGCTCAAGGAAAGCCTCCGGAGCTCAGGGAGGGCAAAAACACCCCACCCCGCCGTAGTGCAGTAGACCACACCCACTATGGCCACGCCTAACCAGAAACCGGGCAGAGAACCCCTTGCTAAAATTTTTGAGACTCACCCCTACATATAGCCCCTTCTACTTCATAAGCACCCCGTATAAGCCAATATACAGTGTGGTGCGCATGTCCTGCTATATTCAAAGGGACTTCATTGTATGCAGTGACTGTGTGTTGGCTTGTGGTCCTTCCTGTAAACGGTACAGAGGGCTTAAAACCCTGAAAAAAAATGAATGTTATCAGATGTTGGTTCGCATTTTAAGTGGGAAAAAAAAGAAGCAACAAGAGATTTCACCTGCACGAGGTTCCATCTGATGATGTCACTCCAAGTGGCTAAAGATTTCCAGATGTTACAAAAGGTTTCAAATGCTTCCAAAGACAAAAGATGAAGATATAACATGATATGCACAGGAATTATCAAGAGAAAACATGCCAGAATTTTGAAACTCCAAACTCCTGAACGAAACTACGTTTATTCTTTTATTCTTGTAGGACACCAAAGCTTTGATCTTTAAAGTACTTTTCAGTAACAGAACAGCAGAGATAGGCAGCGCTTTTAGGCGGGGGAAAGAAATGAATATGCTTTAATGTATTCCACAAAGTTAACAGCACAACAGCATAAAGAATTTGACTTCTCTTTTAAAGGATTCAGAATCACTTCCTGGAGGCACAGTCGACATCATTGCTGTAAATAACCAGCAAATGAACATACCATCACCATCACCTCCTCTACCTCCTACTCTCTATGGTGCAGATAAAGTATTTCCTACTCCAATGGCTGGTTCTGGAGCAAAACCAAAGATTGGGGTGAGCTAAAAAAAACCTTTTAATATGTATGTGTGTGCTGGGAAAGGGATCTCAAACCATGGTTCCATCCTATAGTTTTTATACATTTATGTATAGTTTATTTTTGAAGAAACTGGGATATTCCATAATGTCAAAATCTGTTGTGCAGCTAAGGTTCTTTTTTTTCCCCTGATTCAGTACCAGAACGAGAGGGAGAAGGAGATTTTTCAAAGTATTTGGAAAGTTGGCAGTCAGTGCACATAGAAAGCAATGATTATACATATTAGATTTTGGCAGTGGTGAAATTCAATTTTTTTTACTACCAGTTATGTGGGCGTGGCTTGGTGGGTGTGGTGTGGCTTGGTGGGCGTGGCTTGGTGGGCATGGCAGGGGAAGGATACTGCAAAATTCCCATTCCCTCCCCGCTCCTGGGGGGAGGATATTGTAAAATCTCCATTCCCACCCCACTCTGGGACCAGCCAGAGGTAGTATTTGCCGGTTCTCCGAACTACTCAAAATTTCCGCTTACTGGTTCTCTGGAACTTGTCAGAACCTGCTGGATTTCACCCCTGGATTTTGGTAAATATGAACCACTATCACAGGCATTATGTTCCACACAGCTCTTATTATCTTGAGGATGTAGATTATTTATTAATTATAATAACTAGTAAATCATAATGACTGCAGGCAGTTCCTTATTTTACCCATATCTTTTCAGAAGACAGTCTGGGTTTTTAACTATAGCACTACCAATAGCACTTAGATTTATATACCTTTACACAGTGCTTTACAGCCCTCTCTAAGCAGTTTACAGAGTCAGCATATTCCCCCAACAATCTGGTCCTCACTTTACCGACCTCAGAAGGATGGAAGGCTGAGTCAACCTTGAGCCGATCAGAATCGAACTGGTGGCAGTGAGCTGACAGTAACCTGCAATACTGCATTCTAACTACTGCGCCATCATGGCTCAGTGGTTAGAAGACAATAGCTTATCTTCTTCCCTTAAGTTGTCTGGATAGCCACTTATTAATACCTTTGAAATCCTATAAAGTGCTACATTTTAATCTTAACAGGAATTGTGTGATTCTTCAGATGCTTACATATTTGGGTAATGAATTGAAATTTGAAATTATTCTCTTTTTATAGTAACTGTATTAAAAAATATAATTACAACAATAAAGAACTGATACAAACTAAAGAAATAAAACAATAAAAAAATAGAAGGTGCAGAAAAGGAAAAAAATAAAAATGAAACAAAAATAAGAGTATAGTAAAAATAAATAAATGTATAAAATGATTTACTCTTCATCATATGTATAAGTAATGTATTATTTTCTCTTATAATACAACAAATATCTCTTCTTCCCACGTCCCATCTCTTATCAATAATCAAATCCTTAAAATATAATCATTTCAATCCTGATCAGTAAAAGCCCATTGAGGATTACCAAAAATAACAACGTATTTATATTAACTTTGATCAAATAAACCAACCTTATGTTCCTTCCTTTTACTTTTAGCAATCTTGATTTTAGTCCTATAAAGTAATGTCCTAAACCTTGGTTTCTTTTCATCGTTTAATGTCTCTAAACTTGTATTTTAAAATTTATTTTGCTATGGATTGAAGGAAATTAGCCCAGTTCTGCAAGGCTTATTGATCCAAAGTTTCCTAATAAATAAAAAGCAGTTAATAAGCAATTTCTGAAAGTTATTAAAAAAGGAACTTTGCGCACCTAATGTCCTTTTGAAGGTGTCAATTGTGATTTGAGCAAGATGGCTACTTCCTCAACTCCCAGAACTCTAAACCTGCTGGTAATTGTTCTCTTGTGCTTTCCTCATGAGGAGCAACTCTCTGGAACACAATTCCCAGAGAGAAATCCCACAAAGACCTGGTGTCGAGAAATCCCACAAAGACCTGGTCTATTTGCCAGCTCTTCATTCCAGTTGTTGGCTCCACTTTTGAGGAGCCATCTTCCTTTCACCATTTTTTCCCTAGAAATCTAACTTTGATCTTACTCTCATGAGAAATGCTTTGGAATAAACTTCAATTTAAAAAAAAAAAATAGTGCCAAAACCATTTTTGTATGGGAAGGAGGGGATGTATAGATTGAAAATTGGCTAAGGTAGCCACAATTCATACTATTTCAAAGGCTTTTGAAATATCATAAGAAGAATATGATTTATCAAATTATATTGAATGACAATGTATGTAGCTAGCAGTATCTAATTATGAGAAAAAGAAGAAGATAACTGGTATATGGTTATTTACAAAACAAACCTCTCAATCCTTGAACAAATGCAAACCAAATTCTTGAAATTATAGTACATAATCCTTACTCAACTACTGATGCTACCACCAGATTAGAAATAGACTGCATCTCATTTAGATGGCAAGATTATGTCGGTTAAGATTTTACTTGCTTTGGGCGTAAAAAAATCTGTGTAGAAAATAAAGGATTTATACATTTAGGTAGACAAAGCCAAACTTTTCTATCTTCCTTAGAGATCAGTTATTCTCTCCCCTTGGAAACCCTCTAATGAAGTTATGTAGATCTAGTGCTGCTGATTATGCTTCTTTTCTTGACAACCTCACAAGGCTGATAATTATATAAATGAACATAATAATCAGACTTACTGCCACGATACTGGAATAAATTACTTTTTCGATTAATCAGGCTATTTGCATAAAGAAACATAACTGTATCATAGGCTCTCCTCAGTTTCTATCTTAACCTGAAATTAAAAGGGCTTCTAATATGTATGGTTCTCTACCCTTGTAACAGGATACTATTCTTACATTCCTCCAAAACAATTTCTCTTTATATTTGATTGCAGTAATGTGGAATAATGTATTCATTATCTATTAAATTACCCATTGTACTTGGGCTTTAGAAAGAGGGCCTGTCTGTTATTTTAAAGCAGCATTGTGATAAATCTTCCATTGTAATCAGTGGTGAATGCTTAAGAGAGATGTTCCCGCTTTTTTTGTACTGGATGCCCCAACCAAGAAAAAATTAATCATTTCTTATTTGAACATTTTAGTTGTTAAATCTTGAATTATTATATATTTCATATATGTTTGTTGCAGCGATTTCTTCTTCAAATGTAATTCAAGTACAATTGACTAATAGATTGACTAAATACAATTGCCCACACAATAGGGTGTGTGGGTGGCGATCATTATATTTCAATACAGGTAGTCCTTGACTTACAATGGTAATTGACCCTGGCATTTATGATAGTTATGACAGTTGTAAAGTGGGTCACTACCAGTAGTGAAATTCAAAAATTTTCTCTACTGGTTCTATGGGTGTGGCTTGTTGCGGGTGGCTTGGTGGGGGTGTGACTGGGTGGGCGTGGCTTGTTGGTCATGTGACTGGGAAAACCAACTATCACACTTTGCACAAAAATAATACAAAAGCTACACAACTGACTCACACAGACAATGCAAAAGCAGCTGTCAGCATTCCAGAAAAACCCTAACCTCAAGTAAAAACTTTTGAAACAAGCGTTTTTCAAAGTTCTATTTACTAGAATAGGTAAACTGGCACATCTGGGAAAACCTGAATCTGAGAGGTCCGGGTTTTCCCTCAGTAAATCAAAACCCCCAAAACCATCCCCTCACTCCTCAGTCGATCACATGCTCCAATCACCATCCGTCCCACCTCGAGACATCACTCCGACCACTCCTTCTCCAGATGCAGGATCAGCCTGACCTTGACCGAGAGGAAGAATGCTATTATGTCTAAAGGCAACCCCTCTGCTAAATCCCCCCTCCTACTTTCCCACACATGAGAAGGTGGCAGCATGGAAGCTTCCGGCCTAATATGGCTTCCAAAGCTGACAGCAGCTGGACTTCACACAAAATGGCCCCTGCAACAAGCAGGAACCTCACAGACTCACAGAGGGCTCAAAAACAAACCATCACACTTTACACAAAAATACCAGTTCAGGCAATAGGTAGTAAAAAAATGCTTTAAAAAGTAAAAAAAAAAAAAGTTCCTACGGATCGCGCAGCACAGCTGATTGTCACAGCTGATTGTCTAAACCATTTTTTTTTACTTTTTAAAGCATTTTTTTATTACCAGTTTGGGCAAACCAGTAGCATTTTCACTACCGGTTCGGGTGAATCACCCCGAATCAGTAGCATTTCACCCCTGGTCACTACATGCTTGAATCTGTTTTTATTACTTTTTTTGTGATGGTAGTTAAGCAAACGTGGCAATCATAAAGCAAATGTTGCAGTTATTAAGTCAAGGACTTAATAACATATAGTATATGTTCAATCCATTGTTTGGGGAAATATTCTTCCAGAAAGCTAATGCTGGAAATTATAGGTATAGGAAAGTAAGTCTGATTTAGTTTCATCAGATGTTCTATGAACCGTTTGAACATGCCTATTTAGAAATTTTGTGGGCTGGGCGGGTGTAGGACAATTTGCCATGGCCAACTTGCTGTGACCACCTCACCACCGCCCCAGCCAACTCGCCGCAGTCATCTCGCTGTGAGACCAACTCCCCACAGGACAACTCACTGTAGCCAACTTGTCATGGAACAACTCACCACAGAAAATTCCACACAGGATAAATGTTATCTGTCACTGTTCCTTTGACATTATTTTTATTGACAAAAATAGAAATTATGTCAAAGAAACAGTGGCAGGTAACATTTTCTGTGTTGAGTTATTCCGTGTAGAATTTTCCGTGGCAAGTTATTCTGTAGCAAGTTGGCCCTGGCGAGCTGTATCGCAGCGAGTCAGCTGGATCGAGAGGGCTGTGTCGAGTTGGCTGTGGTGAAATGGCTGCGGCATGTTGGGCGCAGCAAATTGTCCCATTTTGGGGGCAAGTATTGCCCCAAAGTCATCTCTAATGTAGCCATCTTTCTTATATTGAGTAGTCACTGACTGTAACAGACAATCCCTGTCTCTCCATCTATTCAGGAGTAAAATTCAGGATTTACCATTTGTGTGGCAAACTAAACCCTATCTGACTTAAAAAGTGAGAAACTTCTTTTTATATCTT